AGAATTCCCCAACCAGCATGGCTGGGTGGGGGATTCTGGGAGTTGAAGTCCACTCATCTTAAAGTGGCCAAGTTTGGACAACACTGTCCTAAGGCCACTTCTTCTTGGAATTAATACAGACACATAACTGAATTCAACTTGTATTTGAAATATAACAACCAGTTCCTGGCTGGTAATGTCAATTATTTAACTCAATCGTTTAACTCAATTATTTAACACTCCAATTCCACAGCTAAATGAAAGATGCTTTTTCACCATGCTCTGTAACACAGAGCTGTAAATAACCAACATTAAGATTTTTAAAATATCAAGTAAATGGAAGCACCTGATCATGAAACACCCCCATCCATCTTTGCAGGATATGACACAACACAGAATTACAGTATATAGTCCCTAGTGTTTGTATTTTTCTATAGTAAAATAATTATAATTATCCCCCTCTACTTTCAAAAGGATATCTATAATAGTTACAAAAATCCAACAATGATTAATTACTGTAAAAGAAAATAATTCCCAAAGCTACGCATTATATTAACCATTACATTACATTCTGCTTCCTCTCTGTTGAATTGCTATAGCCTCCATTCTCTCAGGTTTTAGTTTTCAATGTAAAGATATCTCATTTTCAGATTTTAAAATTCATCGAAGGGTTCTACATTTCAGTGTATGAGAGTGGCAGAGGTGATGGCTCCTGGAAGCTCTTTAATGGTTAAGACAGTTTAAGGCAGGAATGGTCAAAATCCCTCATTCAAAGGGAAATGATATAAATCAGAACATTTTCACATTTTTCTAGAAAGCAAAGGGCCTTAAATTATATGACATTAAACATCAGCTTTTTATGCTATATGAGGTATTACACACTTCTGGTAAATAAATTGTTAAGAGACATAATTTAGAAAGCTCAGATATTGTATACATGTCAACCAAGCTGCTCTAATTACAGAAAATAGGATATTTTGCAAATGGGAGATCTCTCAAGCTAGGGAATGGAGTATATATCAAAATAACTAATGCTAATCAAGAAGCTCTTATCGTCCTCTATAAATACATTTATATTCAGAATGGGGGAAACTTGGGGGAGAAAGAAAAGGGTAGGGATGGTGAAACTCACCTGACATGGACGTTTCCTGTTGTTACTCATATTTAATCTGATTTGTGTATCCCTTCAGTCCTGTTCTCCCTTCTTCTCCCTGTTTCCTCAGATGACAATGGCCCTGCTAACCTAATATAGTTGTTAGCTTCTCACCTCCACCCCACCCCCATGTGCTTCACCATTATGTGAACAACCTGAGATTATCTTCGCAATCCCTGGTTCAGAGGGAACAGGAAGGTACACCTATTGACCTTGAGTGTCAGTGCTGGTCTCATAGCTTCTGCCAAATGGGAGATTTATTACCTCATATCACAGAACTATCTATCACTGGAGGAAGGATTAATTCTTTGTGTCCTCCACCCCACCCCTGCACCTCTTAGCAAAGGTTTTCTGTTCCAGTCTAGATGCTGGAACAATGAAAGTTCTGATTTCCCAGCCAAGTGCCACCTGAAGCAGCCTTGTCCAATCTAGTGTCCTTCAGGTGCAATGGGCCAGAAACTCTCAAAAAAACCCTCAACTTATATCAAAAGTAGCTATTCTTTCCTTCATGACCCTGACATTTTGGGCAAACCCTGACACCTGGCATTCACAAAACTATTGGCATTTACACAGAAATCTTTCCAGAGCCAATGACAGTTGGTGTATTGTGGGATCACTTGATGATGATAAAGTGGAAAACTAAGCACAAGGAAATATGCTGGATGTGGAGGGGACAAGGAGGGATAACCAGACCAGAAGTTTTAAAAAAAATAGAGTTTTTACTTGAGAGAGAAATGGGAAGAACAAGAGAAACAGTAGTTTTATTGTTTGATAAGGCAAGCTGGGTTGTGTCACAAAGCCATGGGAGATATTATCAATAATCAAGTCTGTAAAGATAAATATTTTTTTAAATAGTTGTGAGAGACACTGGAAGGACTGAAAGGGATGTGGTCAATGAGGAACGAAGTTTGAGAAAAGGTCGGGATTCTGAGATATCCACAGGGAAGAAGAGGCCAAGAGAGATCACTGAGGAAATGTCTAATCTGCAAGGTAGGCAAACTGCAGGAACTGTTAACTCTGGAGAAGAAAAGAAGTCAGATGGGAATGAAATGAGAGAGATGGAAACACATTCAGTATAAAAAGAGGTCCACAGAAAGAATAGAAAAATATTATTGAATTCATGATACAGAACCAGATGGCTTTTGGATGTTTATGAGGACTGATATTATGTACATCCAAATGATTTCCCTGCAGTAAAGATAAAATATATTATTCCTAATGAGAAAAGAGGCAGAATATATTAAAAAGTCATGGTAGAGAAAATTAATATATTTTAGTGTCAACCCTTTTGTTAAATATACTTCCATCTTGTTTTAAATAATACATTATTTTGACATGCAGCATTCCATGTTAGTTGTAGAATTCAGCATACTGAGGGCTAAAAATTACCCATAACATCTTCTATAGAAGAATAGCTCAATGAAATGGGATTTTATTTTTCCTTTTGGTAAAATTAACACTCCACTTTTGAATAAAGGAGAATCGTAGAATCATAAAATTGGAAGGGACTATTTAGGACATTGAACCCAGTGCCCTGCTCAGTGTGGGAATCCAGATGAAAGTATCCCTGATCTATCCTCTGCTTGAATATACCCAGTAAAGGGGAGCCTACCACTTACATGGGAAATAAGTTCCACTCTCAAGTTGCCCTTACCCTTAGGAGGTTTTCTGCAAGATATGAATCTGCCTTCCTATAATGTTTATCCATTATTTAGTGTCCTGCATTCTGGATCAAAAGAGAACACATCTTGACCTTTCAGGTATGTGCAAAGAGTACGACCAGATTCCCCCTAGAGTCAGGGCTGACCATGCACAACTTCTTCAGTCTCTCTTCATAGGATTTAGCTTCTAATAAGGCTATGCCTAGTCAGGTTTCATTCAAAAAGATGCTTCAGAGCATGCGTGAGCACAAATATAGCTGCTGAGCACAACTTTTTAAGGCAAGCGTGTGGAGTTCTATCTTTTGATTGAGTTTTTATTTCTGTCTTTATTTCTGTCTTTTTAGGATTAACAATCTCACCCAATTTTGTGTTACCTGCATATCTAATAAGCATTCCCTCCACTTCTTCATCCAAGTCATTAGTTACTATTTTGAAGAACAATGGGCTCAAGACTGATCATGATGGCACCCTACTTGATACCTATCTTCAGTTTGATAAGGAACCATTTATGAGAACATTTTGGGTATGACTTTTGAGCCAGTCATATATCTATTTGTCATGCCATCCAATATCATGTGATACCTTATCAAATGCTTTGCTAAAATCAAGATATATTCCCATAATTGATTAAGGAAGCTATCTGAACAAAAAATGAGATGAGCTGGCAAGACTTGTTTTTAACAATTCCATGCTAACTTTGGTAATTATCACTTTCTTTTAAAGGATCTTACAGATTTCTTTATAATCTGCTCCAGAATATTCCCAGGTACCAATATCAGAATGACTAGCCTGTAGTTTCCTGATTCCTCCATTTCCCCCTTTTTGAAATTATGTATAATATTTTCTGCTAGCAAAATAATGCTTAGGATCATCCAACACAGATTAGATCCCTACATGGAAAAAGATATGTCATATATTTAAGGTGGCTTTAGAGAAGGCTGAGGAACATAAGACATTATTACTGATGCATGTTGGATAATTGAGAAAGCTGAAGAATATCAAAAAGAAGTCACTATGTGCTTCACTGATTATAGAAAGGCTTTTGATTGTGTTGATCATGTCAAGCTGTGGAAAGTGCTCAGAAAAATGGGAATTCCAGAACATCTGATTGTCCTCATGAGTAACTTATGTACAGGTGAGTACAGTGCAGACAGAACATGGTGAAACAGACTGACTCCGAGTTGGCTAAGGAGTGAAACAAGGCTGTACACTCTCCCCTTATTTATTCAATCTATATGTTGAATACATGTTAAAGGAAGCTGGATTGGAAGAAGATGAACATGGTTTTAAAATTGGAGGAAGAAGCATCAATAAGCTGCACTATGCTGATGATACTACCTAGCTAGCCGAAAATGCAAAGGATCTGTAAGCTCTACTGTGGTAATAAAAGTTAAAGAGCAACGTGAAAAAATGGGATTAAAATTAAATATAAAGAAAACCAAACTAATGACAATGGGTAGAACAACCAGCCTTAGAATTGACAATGAAGATATCAAAGTGGTGGATAGCTTCTGCCTTTTAGGATCAACCATCAACAGTCAAGGAACAAGTAGTCAAGAAATACTCCACAGACTAGCACTTAGGAAAGCAGCCTTGAAGGCCTTGGAAACAATATTCAAATGCCATGATGTGTCTATACCTACAAAGATCAGAATCATGCAAGCCATAGTATTCCCTGTGACACTCTATGGAAGCAAAAGTTGGACTTTGAAGAAGCAGTATAGGAAGAGTATTGATGCTTTTGAACTTTGGTGTTGGAGAAGACCCCTGAGAATATCATGGACAGCCAAGAAAACAAACCAATGGATCATTGAACAAATCAACCCAGATTTCTCACTTAAGGCACAAATACCCAGGCTCAAATGATCTTACTTCAGACACATTATGTGAAGACCGAGCTTTCTGGAAAAGACTTTAATGCTGGGAAAGGTGGAAGGAAAGAGAAGAGGACAATCAGCAGCAAGGTGGATGGACTCAGTTATAGTAGCAATGAGAAATACAGCACTGTTGGAAATGCTGAAGGACCAGGTTAGGGACAGATCATTATGGAGGAAATCTATCTATGTGGTTGCTGAGAGTCAACAATGACTTGATGGCACATGATGATGATGATGATGATGATGATGATGATGATCATCATCATCATCATCATCATCATCAT